TTCCAACACAAAATTTGAATATGGAAACCAGTTTGGCACAATTTCAACATGAACCAAACCGATGCATTTTGTGCCGAACAGGCATAATTTTAATATCAAATTGGTGCATTTTGTTAGAAGCCTGTCCGACACATTTTGTGCAGGTCAAACATATTTTTGTGCTAGACTGACACATTTTGGGTGAGCAATTTGGGTTAAAATGGGGGCATTGTAGTCCAAAAAATTAACTTTTTTTTTATATTGGGGAGTGATACAAGAATAAATAGTAAGGTATTATCGTTAATATACCTATATTTTAATAAAATCAAAAAAAAAAACCTCAACTTTTCAAAACCTCGCCGGTTTCTTTTTAACAAAAATATCATTCACGGTAGTCTTTTTACCGTAAAGAACATTACGGCAATTTAAATACCGTAATGTATAGAAAAGTCCATACGGTAATTTATATACCGCAATTCTTAGGATATTTTATACGGTAATTTAACTACCGTAAATAATATTAATTATTGTAATATATAAATATATTCTTGAAGTCATTTTTATTATCTTAATGGTTGAAAAACTTCAAACCGAAACAAATATCAAAATTACCTTTCTCCTCGTGTGAACTTGCCTTGAAAGTATTGTAACTAGTTTTCTCAATCAATAGGGGTGGTTCATTTGAAATCAAGATAAACAAAAGAACTCAAACTATCATTGTTCAAATCCCCCCAAGTTATCCTTTACCTCCAAAAAAAAAAAAAAATGCCTGAGGAGCTTATCTGGTTGCCTTGGAAAAGATATCTTCAAAATTCCAAGGAGAGATAGTTAACATGTCACAAAAAAAAACCCTAGACTAGAGATGATTGAGAGTCTGAGGGGAATTGAAAGAGGGGTAGGGGGTTTGTTGGGGAAAGAGATGATATGGGGAGAAGCAGATTTATTTACGGGGTATACAATTTTCACCTGTTTAGTTAAAAGATTTTTTTTCCCAACAAAGGTAAAAACAGAGATGATGAGAAGAGTTCTCCCCCAATTTGGGCATCAATTGTTGAAAATCAGTATCAGCTGCCAATTGGCCTCAAAGGCTATTACTATCCCAGCAACTGCAGTTGTCGGAGTTGCCGACAACTGCAGTTGCCGAATTTTGTACAATTAGTCGAGGATGTCACCCACGAAAGCCCGCACACCTGCTGCAAGCCTCGACCCAACTTCTGCACTCGTATTCCCAACCTCACCGAACCATCCCATCTCTTGCCTCAACACTGCCTCGAAAGCCGTAGCTCTAACCCACCTTATAAGCTTCCCTCCAGCCACTGCAACTAAACCCCTATTTATTGGGGGGTTTTCTCAACTTATGCACTCCTATGCAGTAGGGTGGTTTTCTCACTAGATTTTGTGCGTGTAGATGGTTTGGGGTATTGGGTACCTCGTTTTTATTACTCTGGTTTTGAATTTGAGAGCTAGCAAAAGGATAATGGTTTTGGATGAGGGTGCTTTAAGCTCGTTCTATTGAGGAATGCAGGAGCTCGAAAATGTCAATGATTACAGTGCTTTTAAAGCAAGTTCACATAACGCGGGAAGAGAGGATAGCTTTGATATTAGTTTCAATTTGAAGCTTTTCAACTATTATATGAGTTTCCATTTGAAGTTTTTCAACTATTATAGTAATTATATAGTAAAGAATATATTTATATATTGCAGTAATTAAAGTTCTGTAATATTTTTTACAGTATTTAAATTACCGTATAAAATATTTTTAGAATTACGGTATATAAATTACCATATGGACTTTTCTACACATTACGGTATTTAAATTATCGTATTGTTGTTTACAGTAAAAAGATTACCGTGAAAAGTATTTTTATCCAAAAAAAGCTAAAAATTGGAAAAAAAGATGTAGGAGAAGTTTTAAAAAGTTGAAAGTTTTTTTTTCTGATTTTATTAAAATACAGATATATTAGTGATAATTACCCTAAATAGTATTGGGTTAATAATATGGTATTGAAAATATTGGGGGACGTGCCTAAAAATCTAGGGAGTATCTATAATTTCCCCTTAAAAAGGTGAAAACATTTGATCCATGGGCACACGAAAACAGTATCCACCTCATTTATGAGGAATTAGGCGTATTTATTTTGCATCAAATTCGGTGGACACATCCTCTTTGCCCTGTGGCGTAGGAGAAAGCCACTTTTAAAGAGGATGTGGTTTGTATAATGTTGTAACTTTAAACAATCCAATTAAAGTGCGTCGCCAAATTTTTTTTATACCATGTAATTTTGGTGTAAAAAATTATTAGAATTATCTAAAAATTTATTTTTATCTTTAATTATAAAATTTCAAATGCCAAAAATGGTTAAAATTAAGTAGATCTATAAACATATGAAAATCTTGAAAATGAACGGTCTAGATAATAATGTGTTGTAAGATACACTATTTCTAAGACTCAAAATTTTTTTTTTTTTAACACATTCATACATCTCAATGTCATATTAAAATAACCTTTTCATTGATGTGCATCTTTAATTCTACATTTTAATGGTTGCAAACTTATATAAACTTATTCCTTTAAGAAGTGAGAAAATGATTAAGTGTAGGCCATCCAGTTTAGAAAAGAAAAGATAATATTAGATGAAGGCTTTAGAGAAGTTGTTTTATAAAGACTTATGGGCTGTCTGGGATGCATGAAGTATCTAAAAAAGAATTTATGCTCCCTATGGAGCAAAATATACATATGATTATAGGGCAAATACTAGGTAAGAGTATTTTTAGGAGCTGATGTGACTTAACCCAGTGTTTTTATGTATGGGTGCAGTTTGTATAGCGTCGAGGCTCAAAACAATCAAATTAGAACCCACCTTCAAATAGTGTTGAGAAATGTGGTTTCAATACTAAAAATATTTGTGATTGCCTTAAAATATATTTTCATCTTTAATTATAAATTTTAAAGCTTCAAAACTAGTAGATTTATGGAAACTTGAAAATCTTGAAAATTTACTGTCCAAAAATATGTTACAAGATGCACTATTTTCAAAACTTGAAATCCAATTTTTTTCTCATGTCCATGCATCTTGATGTCGAGATGATCAATTTGAGGATATTTGGGCATCAAAATAACCTCTTGTAGTGAAATTTCTGATGTGGGCTTTAATTTGATTGTTTAGAGCCTCAACTCTATATAAACTTTCTCCTTTATGTATTCTAGGTCATTTTTCTCCCTTCTCTATTTTCTTGTTTTTTAATATTGGTTAATTCAATCGAGTAGACTGAGAGTCAGTTGACTGGACTTGGACAGTTTGGGACACTGAGCCGGGTTTTTATACAATGCCCCTAAGTTTAAAGCCCATGTTTTTTAAAAAAATCAGCTCAGATTGATCAACTTTCCCGATTAACTCGAAACAGATGGGCAGCTGATTTGATTGCCTCATTAAATTGGGGCTCAGACCAAATAAACATAATCATATTAAATAATGCTTCAATGTAATGAAAATATTTTAAAATGTTTTGAGGATGATACTTTTTTATTTGAACTTTTTATTTGCATTTTTTTTTTGAAAAAATATTGGCCAAATTGTTCGAATCCCAATCAATGGGTGACCGATTCAACCTGCCGATCCAATTATTTTAACATGGTTTAGAACCATAAGTTCAACCGAAATATTTTGCAAAAGTTTTTGGTCTTGCACATTATTTCTAAGTCTAGACTGAAATATTGGGAGAAATTTATTAGTTCCACATGATGATTCAAATTTTCAACAAAAACTTTATCAAAATATACCAACTTTATCCACTATTTATCATTTTAACAATTTCCATTATCAGTGGGGCTGGCAATGGCCGTGCTTGGGCTAGGGCAGCCTTGGCCCTAGCCTGGCCATGTTCTCCTGAGGGCCAGCCCAAGCTTTGCCCTAAAGCAGGTAAAATTAAAGGAAAACATTGAAAGAAATATGAAAAGATAAGAGTCGAGCCATGCCTACCTTGCCCTGGCCCATGCTTGGCCCTTGGGCCACATGTTGTTGCCCAAATCCTAGTTTTTTTATGGCCGGGGCATCTTGTCCATTGCCTCTCCAAAATTACATCAGCTAGTGTATCCTAATTACATGTTGTTTGATGGGCTTTTCAAACTGAAAAATGATTCGATAAGGCTGCAACATTGTCAAAATAAGCAAAGCCTCACCTCAAAACTATGAAAAATTAACATCTTGGTGTCGGAAGATATTCAAATTAATCATATCAGCCTTGACCATTATAGTTGCTAAAAAAAATTAGGATTTCATACCCTAAAAATAATGTATATTGTAACACGTTATCTAAACCATCTATTTCACCCTAAAAATAAGTGTTCATGGATCTGCAAGATGTGTACTACTTTTTTCCTTTTTGACCAAATAGACAAGTCATCAAGTCTCGCTTAATGTGCACCATCTTTTAAGCTTTAAATTATAGTTGATATTGAAAATTGATTTTAGAGCCATTATAGAGATTTATTATGTTTGAAGTGCTTTTTGGATGAGGATTTGTTGTGAGAGTTGGAGTTTAAATTGAAAAAAGATAAAACATTAATCCCTTATTAGGTAAATATTGATAAATTACCCGTTTTCAATTGAAGCGAAAGCGGTAAAATGTGATAACGTCTCTGGAAAATGATAGTTAGGAGAGGTTTATATAGAGCCTAGGCTCTAAACAATCAGATTAGAGCCTACTTAAAAAATTTAGCTAGAAAAAGTTGTTCTGATGTTTAACTGTCTTCAAATTGATCATTTCGACGTCAAAATGTATGAATTTGATAAAAACATTAATTTCAAGTTTTGAAAATAATACACCTTCTAACGTATTGTTAGACGGTTAATTTTTTATTTATTTAAGTTTTCATAAATATGTTTGATCTAAACTATTTTTAAATCTTTAAATTTTACAATTAAAAATGAAAATATATTTTAAGGCTGGTTAGAAATTTCGAATATTAAAACCACATATTTGGACTCTATTTGAAGGTAGGCGCTAATTTGATTGTTTGGCGCCTCGGCTCTATACAAACCGCTAAGTTAGGAAATCCATTATCGATTATAAATCGCAACGAGAACCGGAGGTCCATTCTTACCAGGTCATCGCGGACCTTCACAGCCTGTTCATTGAAAAAACAAAGAGATCTTACGCTTCAAGTTCTTAGAAAAGCAGGTAATTTTTCCATCTTTGGAAACCCTAAGTCTCAGTTTATGACCTCACAGCGCTGCAAGAAACCCTAGATCCATGCCAAATCCAGGAAGCCTGGTCATTGTAATGCTTATGACTGTGAATGTATATGTTTTACTACTTTTAGAAACTCTAGAAAGCGTTTGTGATAATGAGCTTTGTATTGATCAAAACCCTAGAATTATGGTTATCCAGTTATCCTGCGGTATAACTGCGAAAATTCTTCGTTTAAATGGTGTTCGATTGCTTACTAATTGTCCCAGGATTAGATTTTATTTTTTAATTATTAGATTTTATTTTTTAATTATTTCTTCTTCCGCCTTTTGTATATCTGCATTAGCTGAAGCCTTTTCTAATGGGTTCTTTACACCCTGGTGTTCTTGTAAAACTCATAGAGAACATGAATAATGATGAAGAAAATAGGCCTGTTTTGTTGCAGGTCATAAGCATAGTTCCTGTTCTTGCAGGAACTGATCTATGGCCGAATCAGGGTTTTTATCTCAAGGTTTCTGATGCATCTCATGCCACTTATGTATCTGTACCAAAAGAAAATGCCGATATGATTCTTAGTGATAATTTGAGGTTAGGTCAGTTCATTCATGTTGAGAGATTGGAATCTGCAGCTCCTGTTCCTTTACTAAAAGGAATTAAGCCTTCACCTGGAAGGCATCCATGTGTTCAAGGTCCTAAAGATGTTTTAGCACCGCAGAATTTAGTGTTTTTCGGGCCTCCATTGTCAAATTTAATACCTAACTCTGGTGAAAATGAAAATTCAGCTGATTTGACAGTTGATGACAAGGATGAGAACCTAGGGTTAGGGGTTGAGATGAGTAATGATGAAATCTCTTGTAGAGTAGATAGTGCTGGTAAGGTTATCAATGAGGGTTCGAAGAAGAAGATGTTCATGAAGTCTCGTTCTTTCAGATCTAGGACTGGTTCGAGTTCTCGAACAGTGAAGAAATCATTGAATTTTCGGTCAATACCTACATCTCCTACCAGTTTGCATTCGTTGGGCTGTGAGGAGAATGTTATTAGGAAAAGGAGTTCATCTGCAGATTGTTGCAGAGATGTTGTTCAAGATGTAAGTTTGTGTGGGCAGAAAAGTTTGAGGAGAACATGGGAGGAAATTCTTGAAGCGAAAAGAAAGATTTGTCCTAAATCTGTGACGGTGCCTCTTTATCGTGGTTCTTCTGTGAGTTCATTAGATTGTCTTTGTTGGTTTAATTTGGTTTCATGTATTTGGCAGTTCTTGAATCATGGCAAACTTAGGACAAGAGCATATAAACACGTCATAAATTAAAAGAATAATCCACATGAGAACCTGTCTAGACATCTAAAAGTCAAGAGCTGGACTCCTACTTCAAACTGTGACATCAAAATGCCCTGATGCCTTCTTGAAGATTCAACTTGCACAGGGGTCCATCCCTTTGTTTTTGAGATGGCAGCAAGCAGTGTTAGTGTTAGTCCCTTTTTTATGACAGTGTGTTAACCATTCCAAAATTGAATAGACTTTACCCTATGCAATCACTTGGGGCATGTTTGTTTGTAAAAGAGGGGTTTGCCAAAACCCTCTCTTCCACAAAGTATGAAAGCCCATGGAACAAATGGTCAAAAGACTTTGTTTTTAGGTAGCATGGATGCCATGAGTTTCATCTTGCAGCTTCCACGAGGATTCTTCAAATGTAGGAGTCCGTTTCGTGGAACGTCGGTCTCCCACTACGCAATTACGATTGCTTTTCTTTTAAAATATTCCAAAGAAGTTCACTGGACTTCTTCAATTTTGATATTTCAGATGGTTTTTATATCAATTACAGAATGCCCTTGGATAAGCTTTATCATTCTTGTGAGACACATTACATCATATGTATTTGATATTTGTGAGTATCAACCATATTTGTTGGGTTTAGTAATAGAGGTGATTATTCTCTCCATATTCCTTTGTCCTACCAACAATTTATAAGCCCTGGGCATAAGAGAGATTCAAATCTATCTTAGGTAAGTGGGGGGTTAAATTTGTTGACGCTAGTAAAAGAATTTCCTGCTTGTATGATATTTGAGCCTGTCCAAGAAACTTAATTGTTAACTTGATGAATAGAAAACCTGCGATGGGGTTTATGCAGGGGGGAAGGGTGTACAGTCTGTACCCCCTTTTTTGATCCCTAGAAGTATTCCTGCCTGCCCTGAAAATTACTAGAAGTTTATCGAAATACGGGAATAACTAAATAAGGGTATTGCCTGAGGCCCTGAGCATTGGGATTGATGTACACTTAACTTCTTGCATATTGGAATCTTATTATTTGTAATAATCTGTGCTACACAATGAGCTTTCTTGAAAGCACACTGTTAAGTAATGTGATCCATTGTTAATTAATGCCATCCGATTATGGTCTTCTTTCTCTTCATTAGACAAAATTGTTTTTTACTACTCTTCTAGTAAGCATTTAAAATCTTATTCATAAATTGCGCATATTTGTCTTTGTATTACAAAACAATCACCATACATAATACTTTCTCATGGATATACAGGCCCCTCTATGTCAATGGGCTGAAAATGAAAAGCTCACAACCAAAGATGCTGATTCAATTTGCATGCGTGTCAAGAAACGATTGGGAAGTACTAAGGTGGTTTATAACTCCAATAATCAGAGGGTTACTGTTTCAAAGAAAACATCCACTGAAAGTTTGTTTACCAGTATTCCGTTAGACATTGTTAAGGTTATTGCTAGCAACAAAATATGTGCAGAAAGCAGTATTTCATGGCCTTCTCTCCCTTCGAATCTTGTGAAACTTGGGAAGGTATGTATATTCTTTAAGCCTCCCTTCTTTCACTTAAGATCTATGTAATGTTAGTCTGTATTTCTGAGTGATAAAACTTGGGAATGTATGTATTTAAGTATTGTTTGATGCCTCCCTATTTTTAATAGAAAATTATGATATAAGAGTATGTATTTCAAAGTGCATAGAGTATCCAGGGAGACCCTTCTGCAATAACTACATGTGGCAAGCTATATTTCAATAGTTTTGCTATATTTGGATTTTGGAGTCCACATTCCTTGTCTTTTCCAATCAGTACTACTTTCCCATGGGTTATCGTTCCCTGGTTCACTATTCATTCCTTGTTTAGGATACAGGATTACTGTTCATGTCTTTCTTTCAAGAGTACTTAAAATGCTGTAGTTCTCTCTCTCTCTCTCTCTTCTNTCTCTCCCTCTCTNCTCTCTCTACTCACTCACTCACTACACACTACTACACACACACTACTACACTACACTACACTACTACA